GGTGGCGTCCAAAAGGGAAGAAGATAGAGCAAAAGAGTCGCCAACAAGTTTTTTAGGAACTTGTAAATCGTTCACGAGGTGAAGGTTACACCCCTTAACGATCCAAGAGATCGTCAACTCCATAAGGTCATGAACCAAATAAGGGTTCGGAGATGAAGGTACAAATCCAACCTAAAAGAGATTGAACCTGCCCTAATAATAGGCCTCTACTTTATTCTGATCGTATTCATGTGCGCTTTTTAATTAACATACAATCAATAGGATTAACCCTAAACCTGTTTATCTATGTTGGTTAAATTTAATGCACAAATAAACTATTATTGGCGATCACTTGAATTATAATCATATTAACCCTAACAAGATTATTAATTATCTTATTAAGCGTGATTACAAGTACCAATTCCCTTTAAACATGCATAAAAGGCGTGATCAAGCAATATAATAAATAATAAAGCAACATAATAAATAATAAAAAATAATAATTATAATCATCACAAATATAATTAAGAATAATCATCATGATAACACCCATATTAATCATAATAATAATTATTATAGCGATAACAAAATTATAATCATAATAAAATAATCATCATCAAAATAATAATAATCATAAATTATAACAATTATAATCATAATCATGTTCATGTTAACATTAAAGCATAATAAAAATAGCAAGATCTTAGGCATGATACTAACAAGATTAATAACAAACCCTACCATGTCACTAAGCAATAAAAATCAAATCTTTAACCCTAACATGATACTAACAATCATAAATATTAGGAAGCATCATAGGAATCATATTTAATATTAAAATTACCCTAGACATGATACTAGGAATATCATAATAACAATCTAAACATGATTTCTACATCATAATATCAATAAAAACCAATTAAAGTACTTACTTTGATGCCTCATACCTCTTTCTAATAACAAAATACACACGTTAGTAACTTCAAGGAAAATAAAAAACAACAATTAAATTAAATAATTAAAATAAAGATTTGGGACCAAACCCTCAGAAATTAAACCTTTCACGTCTAGGGCGAAGGCAACTTCGAATATGGCTAGGTGTTTCTAGATTTTGCGAATGCGGGATTTTGTATGAAAAAGCAAAGGTAAGAAATAATTGAATGTATGCTAATAAAAACTTGTGAATGAGGAGAATCAGTGAATGTAGATGATGGTAATTAATGAATGAAACGGAGTTTTTAATACGATATTTATAGAGAAAATCAACCAAAAAGATAAATTAAACAAAACAGAGTCTGACGCTCAGAAAACAGGGCAGGCGCCAACCCTGGCTAGCTGGCGCCAGGCACCAACACTAGCGCCAGGCCTAGTTCCAGGCGCCAAGGCCTGGGGTTAGGCGCCAAGCCTGATTCCAACGCGTTTTCGAAAATCCGATAAGTTTACCGTACTGAGGGATAAAATAATATAATTTCCTCGAAAATGCTATTTGATTTTGATTAAAACTCTGAAAAGTCAACAAAAGTCAATTTATCAATGCTAATTGAATTAGGAATGAAAAGAACCTTTTAGAAGATTCTAGAAGACTAAAACCATTCCTAATTGCATTAGGAATGATAAATCATATTAGGCCCTCCCCTAGATCATTGGGCCGTACATAAAGCTCAAACCGGGCCCAGTTTAGTAAGTTGGCCATAACTTCCTCAATATTCATCGGAATTGGGCTTATAATATATCGTTGGAAAGGTCTTTGCAAGCCCCATCCAACTACAGTACTATAGAACCCATATCATGGACCAACCAAACTAGATTAGCTGTTTTCTTAAAATAAGTTTTCAAAAACAGAGAGAAGAGAAAAGAAATTAAAACTTTCCGCAACACTAGACCTTTCAACATTAGAAAGGTACTCATCACTGGGTTTGGTTTTGGGGAGACACAAATGGGTGTCTACACTGCTGCAGCTCCCTGGGCAGCTGCCTAGGCTACAGCTTGTGGTCCCGATTTTTTTTGTTTTATTATTTTTCTTTATTTTGCCATTGCCTAACGAGGACGTTTTCATATAATGTTCCAGAGTATGTTCAATATTGTTGATGAGCCGGCCAAGAGAAAATCTTTTTTCGCATTTGTACAAGAGAGGTTCAAAAACTTCAAAAGTTCCTTGAGAACAAGATGGATCCATAAGACAAGACGTAAAAGTTCAAAGAAAAAAGTGAAAGCCAATGGAGAACAGGAGGAACCTGAGAAGAAACCATGGGATGTATATCCACAAATAACGGTGATGGAGTGGGAGAAGTTTGTGGCGAAATCAACTAGTTTTACTGCACTTGTATGTAGTTATCTATCTATCAATTAGAGTTGACAAATAAATATGGTTCAATACAAATAATGATGCTAACATTTCGTAATGTGTAGGTAAAAAGTGAGCAAGCTAGAATTAATGCGGGGAAGAAATCGTATAGCCATCATATGGGTTGTAAGACATTTGCGGAAAGTAGACCAAAGTGGATCAAAGAGGGTCTATACCCCACATCAAAGCTATCAACATCTGATAAACCAATGTCATCCACAGTCTCCACTTTGGTATGTCGTCCAATTGATTGGTGGTGTGCTATGCATGGTATCGACAAGGGCACCGACAAGTATGTCATCTCGCGTCCGGATACTAAAGTCGTAGCAGATGCACTTGTGAGCAATCTATGATACTTATGATAATATTACAACTTTATTATTATGTATTTTCATATAAACTACAACCTAACTTTGAACTAGAATTTTTTGGTGTTGTTACAGCTCGAGCATACGTCGGAAGTGGTTGAAGGCAATCTCACTCCAAGCATAGACAACGATCCTTTCACCTTAGCTCTTGGAAAACCATATCACCATGGGCGAGTTATTGGATCGCGAGGAAAATAAGTAGGGTGGGAAAAGGTGATGGGTCCAAAATACACCAGATCAGGAAGAAGTAAATCAAGTGTCAATTTGCCACACCGTATGAATGAAAAGGAAAAGGAATCAATTAAGGCGGAGATACGCAAAGAGGTGCAAGAACAATTGCAAAGTCAATTCAACGCCATTTTAAAGCACATGAACTTGCCGATCTTGCTGTTGCCCTCGAATACTCAAGTGCACTCATGTAGTCATCCAAAAGGCGTCGGGGATGATCCGGTTGTTGAGAGAGAGGTAATTTTATTACAATCAAATTTGGTGAAAATATGAACGTGGTCCAGACACTTGTTGGGAGCGAGTTACTTATTTTACTATTGCAGGTTCCTAGTCCTATGCATGCAGACACATTGGAGATTGCACATCCAACACCTGATCCTTTGCCAGATATTAAGGTAAACGTCAATAACTAATCAAATGTGCTTCTATTAGACTTACGTCGGTCACTTCATAATTCATGTCCTAATCTAATGTGTAGGAAGAGACACCTTGTGAGCTTCTTCACCGTGGGGAAAACATGGATGGAAAGTTGAAGTTGGTGGGGGTATGGTAGCGCACAACCGTTTGACAAGGTCCATTTCAAGTCTAATACTAGTACCTGATATATCTCGGTCGGCATCAATTCTATACTACCTGGTTTTGAGGACTTACCACTACCGGTGCCTAGAGAAGAGTATAACTTCTTTAAGCTACAAGATTCGACGGGCAGCTTTGTGCAATGGCCACGTGATTGGGTGAGGTTGATAGGAGGGGTAAGTATCAAATACCATTTTTTAAAAACAAATATAACATATCTTGTAATATGACATGTGCTTTTATGTTACTAGATTTCAAAGGAAAATCAATCCTCAAAAAGGAAGAAGGTGGAGAAGACAAAATCCAAGGTCGTCCAACCTCCAAACAGCATGGAAGAAGGACAGGGGTTGAAGGGTGAACACTTGTCGAAGAAGAGCTCGAGAGGTTCTGCCTTGAGCTGTACTCCACTAGTTGAAGATGATGTCCTTCGTTTGCTCTCTAAGGCTTGTACTTTTCTTCACAACCGCGTTAGTGAGTTGCCATTTGGTAGATATATTGAAGTGAATTTACCTAAGGCATTGTTCCACTATGATGAGGATGCAATCGCATTTATTTCAAGAGTGGATGTGACGAAATTTCTAACCGGTTCCATGCTTAACATTTCCATCATTCAAAATTTCATAAGGTAATTCAATGGCACTATTCCTAATTATATTGTTGTTGCTTTTCGAATGTAGATAGTGCATTTAATAAATGATCCACACATTGCTTTCATGAAGGTCACTACAGGAGCACCTTCTTAGTAAAGGTAATTCTGAGGCTACAGGTGGGTGGTTATGCCCCAAGCAGACCTCCGTTACCAGATGCTTATGCAACCCGCGTGATGTGCAAGATTACCTCGAGCGGAGTATTAAGGAATCAACCCGAGCGCGAGACAAGTTCATATTAGCGCCATGCTTTGAGAAGTACGTCTAAATATGTCATAATTCAATTGATTGCTTAGTAATTATGTTGACGTCTAATCATTAATGGATTGTTATTTGGTTAATATATGTGTAGTGCTCATTGGACTCTTTTAGTGATTTGTGTTTCCAATAACACAATCTACCATTTTGATTTGGCTCGTGTGAGTCCACCGCGAAAGCTGCTAGTGAAGAACCTACTGAATAGGTACAAATTGCAACCCCTTGTTGAATGTCCTCACCTAAGTTATTGGCTAGTTATATTTCTAACTTTAAGCTTATTTTCCTACAGTGTTATGAAGAAGCTAAATTGTCGTTCGGTTGCGGGTCCTACGTTGAAATATGCAAATGTAATGCCTTGACATAGTGACTTGTTTAATAAACTTCACATCGATAATGGCTATGCATGATATCATTAACACATGGTATTTTAGTGTGCGTAACAAGACAACGGAGTTGACTGTGCCCTGTACGTGATGTGGTTTATGCTTGACATAGTCAATAGTTGCACGGAAGCTCAACACATTGATGAGGTATCGGTTTATTTTATTATTTTTTTCCGTTCGATCAATACTACCTTCCATTATTGCACCGAACACATAAATGGGAAAGAGAAAACCCGAGGCAGCAGCCCAACAATATGCTGAACCCGAGGCATGGTCCGGGGTAGCTGCACCCGAGACAGCTGCACCCAGGACAACTGCACCGGAGGCAGCTGCACCCAGGACACCTGCCCAGGCAGCTGCAGTAGCCAAGGCAGGGCTGCCCATGGAAGCTACAGCAACAGCCCAGGCAGGTGCCCAGGCAGCTGCAGCAGGAGCCAAGGCAGGGCTTCCCATGGCAGCTACAGCCACAGCCCAGGCACCTGCAGCAGCAGCCAAGGCAACGCTGCCCATGGCAGCTACAGCAGCAGCCTAGGCAGGTGCCCAGGCAGCTGCAGCAGCAGCCATGGCAGCAGTCGAGGCAGCTGCTGCATCGCCGCCAGGGAGTGGCCGAGGCAGCTGCTGCATCGCTGCCGGGGAGTGGCCGAGGTGATTTTTGTGAATGTGTTTACCTTTCGTGAATTTGGTTGATTTTTGTGAACTTGGTGCGTAATTTTTGCTAAAATTGGTTAATAAGTCATTTTAATATTCTTTGTGCCTTATACGATGGAAATGCGTCCTTAAACTTACTAAAATGCTATTTTCATGTGATTATAAAACTTAGACACCTATTAATAGGTAATATTGACATTTTATGAGAAATAAATACTTTATTTTGATAAGAAATGTAGAAAATAGGCAAAGTAGAAGTCGTATAGGCCTTTTATGGGCCATTTTGGATGGAATACGTCCTAAAACTTAGTAAATTGCTATATTGATGTGATTTCAAACATTAGATACTTAAGAATAGGTAGTATTGACATGTTGTGAGAAAGAAATACTTTATTTTGATAAGAAATGTAGAAAATAGGCAAAGTAGAAGTCGTATATGCCTTATATGGGCCATTTTGGATGGAATACGTCCTAAAACTTAGTAAATTGCTATATTATTGTGATTTCAAACATTAGACACTTAAAAATAGGTAATATTGACATTTTATGAGAAATAAACACTTCATTTGATAAGAAATGTAGAAAATGGGCAAAGTAGAAGTCGTATAGGCCTTATATGGGCCATTTTGGATGGAATGCGTCCTAAAATTTAGTAAATTGCTATATTGATGTGATTTAAAACATTAGACACTTAATACTAGGTAATATTAATATGTTATGAGAAAGAAACACTTCATTTGATAAGAAATGTAGAAAATGGGCAAAGTAGAAGTCGTATAGGCCTTATATGGGCCATTTTGGATGTAAGGCGTCCTAAAACTTAGTAAATTGCTATATTGGTGTGATTTCAAACATTAGACACTTAAGACTAGGTAATATTGACATGTTATGAGAAAGAAATACTTCATTTGATAAGAAATGTAGAAAATGGAAAAAGTAGAAGTCGTATAGGCCTTATATGGGCCATTTTGGATGGAATGCGTCCTAAAACTTAGTAAATTGCTATATTGATGTGATTTAAAACATTAGACACTTAATACTAGGTAATATTGACATTTTATGAGAAAGAAACACTTCATTTGATAAGAAATGTAGAAAATGGGCAAAGTAGAAATCGTATAGGCCTTATATGGGCCATTTTGGATGGAATGCGTCCTAAAACTTAGTAAATTGCTATATTGATGTGATTTCAAACATTAAACACTTAAGACTAGGTAATATTGACATGTTATGAGAAAGAAACACTTCATTTGATAAGAAATGTAGAAAATGGGCAAAGTAGAAGTCGTATAGGCCTTATGTGGCCCATTTTGGATGTAATGTGTCATAAAACTTAGTAAATTGCTATGTTTGATGTGATTTGTCAATGCATGACATACAAGTTTGTGAAATAAATATTTTTTTAACTTTTTCATGTCATACGCTTGATATACTGATATATAATAATGGTTGGTTGATTTTTTTTCTAAAGGTTTGCAAGATTCAAAGGGAAGGCCCGTTAACAAACAAAGAAATCAATGAAATTCGCGACATCTAGGATTTTTTCGTGACATTTGATGACATCTAGTGAGATCGAGCTAGTTTAGATTACTTGTGAACATTATTTTATTAGTTATGTTTTTAAATATTATTATGTCAATTATATATTAACGTTAAGTACTTATAATTAAATAGTACGAAGTATTCGTGAGTTTTATCTTTATATATTTTGGTGTAATGACATAATACTTTTAATTAAATATATTAATGATGTTACTCATTTTGATATTTATGATAATTACATGTTAGTTGTATTTTTGTTGTATTTAATATTAATTAATTAATAATATATTAATATTATTATTAATTAATATTACTAATTAATAATAATATTAATGTTAATAATAATTAATATATATTATTATTAACCAGTAATATTATTATTATTGTCACAGGTCACTAATATAATTATTATATTATTATTATAAATAATAAATTTAAAAAAAATCAAAAGGGAAACGGTTTGGCGGTTTTACCGCTTTCCATTACCCTTACCATAATGCTGCCAAAAATCCAAAAGGGAAGCAGTTTGGCGCCAAAACCACTTCCTTTTCACCCAAAAAGGGAAGCGGTTTGAACCGCTTCCTTTTCCAAAGCCTAAAGGGAAGCCCCCCAAGCCGGAGCGGTTCAAAACCGCTTCCCTTTTGAGGGTTTGAACCGCTTCCAAATTGGTTGTCGCAAATTAAAAACATATTCAAAACAATTGAATAAATAAACTATTACTACTGCAAAAATTGGGGAAAATCCTTTATTTCGCGAGCAAGGTAGATTTCCAATTTCGAAATTAGCTATTGACCAAATTCGCTTGATGTTAGGGTGTTGCGATTGTTATTGCTTCAAAGAATTTTGAATTGGTTGAGGTTTATTAGGACGTTGAAGGGGTTTTTGCGGAGGTTTAGGGATTTTGGGCGCCATTGATAAAGCTTCAGTAAGGAGAGAGATTGAAGGAGCAGTGAGAAAGTTGGAGAAAGGGGAACAGAAGAGGGAAAGTGATGTGGAGGGGGGGTGTTGTCGTTCAGTGGGTCGTGAAGAGGGGAATATTCTGGTGGTGGTGGGATGGGGAAAGGGGTTGTCGGAGGGGGAGAGGGTAGGAAGGGACGGCTGCCGGAAGTTGGGATGGAGTGGCGTGGGGTTGGGGTGGCTGAGATAAAAGGAAAAATTAATTTTAATAATCCCAACTTTAATCGGTTCGTAGATAATAATCCCATCTATTGATTTTTATCTAATAATCTCACCTTTAAGAGTCATCTTCTATTCTAATGGTCCCTAGTGACCGTAAACTGAAGATTAGGTAAAAAAAATTTCTCTATTCTCCCTCATCTCCATAGAAAATTAGCCCCAATTCACTCTCCTCCATTTCCCTTCCCATCCCACCTCAATTTATCTCTCTTCCTACAATAATGGCAGCAGTGTACTTATATCTAAGGTAACTTCATTACTTGTTGTCGTTGAGTATCAAGCAGTAAAGTTACTATCGCGGGGGTGAGGGTTTCGTGGGTTGGGTGGCTGGTCGATCTTGGGTAGGGTTTTTCGTAGGTAGGGGAGGTTGGTTTGTGGGTGGAGGTGGCTGGCCATTTATGTGGGTGGGGCAGAAAATGGGGGGGGGGGGGGTTGTAGGTCCGGTTTTACATGTGGGTGCCCGATTTCAATGGAGGAGGTATTTGAGTTTGGTTTTTTTTTTATGAAGGTCACCGACATTAATGTAGTAGAGGTGATAAAGAATTGGGTCGAGCCTTAACACAATTCCTCGTACCCAAACCCGCAAAAAAGTAGTGGGCTTGTCGGGCCTAAGTGAGATTTTTGGGCCGGGTTCGGGCTTTTTTAACTAAAAATGTGTTTTTATGCTTGTCCAAACCCGCCCTATTTTCGGGCTGGGCCAATGTTGATCACCTCTATAATGGAGGATAATGGGAAGGGAAAAAATAAAGGAAAGAGGAAAAGGGAAAAATGTTATAATATTTTTTTTTGTATAAATAAAAATTATATATTTAGACGAATCACGAAAGGACATATGTCATGTTAACCTATCTAACCGGTTACCAATAGATTTGGGACCATTAGAAGAATATGACCCCTAAAGATGAGATTATTATCTATGAACCGGCCAAAGTTGGGATTACTAGAATCAAATTTTTCCTAAATAAATGAAACGTTTTGACTTTTTTCCACAATTCATTTAATTCCCCTTTAACTAATATTTGTGATTTATAGATAACAATAAATATAGTCATGTGAGTACTTGTTGGAATCTTCTTAATGAAAAATTTATTAATATTCAATTGTAATAATTTTTATTATTAAAGATATTTTCTGTCAAAGTTTAATGTTAGCATACGTGCACTAGGAAAAAATTTATACCAAAGTTTTAAGTACAAATTCATATGCAACTTTGACAAAATAAAAAATAAATAGGTGGAAAGTTTATAATAATATAATTGTATCTACAATATAAATTATTTGTAAAAAAAATATATAACCTTGTCAATATAAATATTTGAATTTGATCGTTAATTATTATACGACTGCACAACACATTATACCCATATTTGCCAGATTATATTATGTTACGTTACAACGCTATATTGTTTTTATCTTTTTTTTTTATTGTCCATTGCTACCCTAGTTTGGACTCATGGGTCCGCCACTGATTGGAGCAGTAGTTAAAGTTTGCTTGTAGGATGACATGATGCCGCATAAGCAATGGCGACATGTAGCGGGATTTCATACCTTATCATTGAGTTTTAATTTTAATAATAAACAATATATATTAAATTTTTTTTTTGGTACAAATAATATATATATATATATATATATATATATATATATATATATATATATATATATATATATATATATATATATATATATATTAGCGTGTCTTCAATTTACAAGCTTTGAATACATTCCACATGGGTAAAATAGGAAAAAAAAATGAAATATATTCAATTTGGGTAAATCTTTTTTAAACATCCAAAAAAGAGTATGAGACTAACAATTAGAAACGGTTGGAGTATATATTTTAGTGGTGGATGAAGAGATTACATTCCTAACTTGGGATAATACATTCCAAATTTGAAACGGGTTGGTTTGGGCTAGGGATGACAATTTAATCCGAGTTTGATTCGAATCCGATCCGATCCGATCCGAAGGAAAAAGTCCGATCCAAATCCGTTTAAAATTAGTCCGAATCCGAATCAGATAAAATAGATCCGAATCCGAATAGGAGGCGGATCGGACTTGGACTCTATGCAAAGTCCGATGGAGGTTGATCCGAGTCCGAATCCGAGAGTATGAGCATATGCTTTATAACTTGGGACAATTGTTTGCTTGTGTTTGTACTAAAAT